CTCACTATTTCAGAGGAAGGCTACAGATAAGAAAGGGGAAGGCTAGAACAACGTGATGGTGATGGAGTTGTAGTCCTAAGTATGATCCCATGATCTCTTAACATCAACTACAGGAGGAGACACAGAAAATGTTCAGATATGTGTATATGCACAGGTACTGCCTTGCACATTCAGCAGAGGACTTAGAAGTAACAGTGGGCCCCAGCAACACTGAGCACCCTGACAGCCCAGCTCTTGGTTTCTAAATACCATCTTCCACTGGTACCCATTGGAGATGAGGCCGACCCTAGGGCTTGGTCAGGGAATCTACAGAATGAGCCTGGAACGTTTCCTAGAGCCAGAAAATAGCAAAACGATGGGGCTTCTCACATGAGCATAGTAGCAAACAGAGAGAGCTCCCAATGTCATAGCTGGAACAGTCTGAATGACCAAATAATAAAGCAGTATTGGAGGAAAGCCCAAGGTGTAAAGTCCATACCCAGGCATCCATAGTGGTAAAAGTCAATCAGCCAACAAATAAGCGCTGTGCATGGTGATTAAACAGTGCAGTTCCTTGGATGGAATTCTGGGATGAACTAAGGGGATTAAATAAGACCTAAGGAAATCTGAATCAAGTATGGACTATAGTTCAAGATGACGTGTCATGATTGGTGTGTTCTGTCAAATGTGCCATACTAAAGTGAGATGACAACAGTAGGGGACACTGAGCACAGGGGATTTTATTATTATATTTTCAACTTTTCCATAAATATAAAAGTATTCTAAACGTTAAATAACATTTAAAATATGCCTTGAAACTTTGTGTGTGGTTGATCTAGGTATATACTTGTTTTTCTCTAGACAATTTATGTGACATATATGAAGAGAGAGATCTAGATACATACGTCCGATACTTAAAAGTATACTTGGTTACAGTGGTCAGTTTTAATTTACATGCATTTTACCACAGTTAAACTTATTTTTACCCTGTGGTGTCCGTTTCAGTATTACGTGTTGCTTGCATAGGTCTGGGTTCCTGTGTTTCTGGAGCCCAGCAGACGGAGTCGAGGAGGAACCTGAGCACAGGTGCAGGCTTTGTAAATCTGCCAACTGTGTGAGTAGCACAAATGTTCCGTAGTTCAGTCACCATGGGATGCCAGACGCCATGTGTGCTCAGAGGCAGAGGAAAAGGGAAAGCCAGTGCTTTGTGGGGCGCAGACTCCTTGAAGGCCCTTCAGCACCGAGAGAGTGCTGGATCCATCCCCACCCCCACAAAAAAAGGAAGAAAGAATATTACCTTTAACTATATACATTTTTTTTTGTTGATTCATTCAGAAAATAGAATTCAAGATTCTTGTATGCAACCAGTAGAGAACAAAGAAAAACATGTACCATACATGACCCCAAATATACTTTAAAGAATGAAAAAGGATTGTATGGTAAACCTGGTTAGTTCAGTGTGGCTCGGATTTACATCTGGGAAAAGATGAGACCTGAGTGCCAAGGGCCTTGGGAGCACTCACTGGGACTTGGGGTGACTCTCCAGGCCGTGGAGGAGGAGGCTTAGGAACGGGAAGCCAGCACACACACCCAGGGCCTCATGAGGGAACTCTGGCAAGGTCACCCTAGGACTGGACAGAAACCAGAGACTGGGAGAATGTGCTTGGCTTGGAGCTTTTCCAGAAGAGAAGTGCAGCCACTTCCGTGGAAAGGAATCCCAACCTATCTATCGGGAGACAGCAGAGAAAGGCAGGCCGTCCACCAACGTGGGCCTGCCCCACGGCTCCCATCCGTCTCCCCCAGGAAATGAGTGTCCTAGGAGCTGCCTTCAGCCACTGTGGGGAACAGTAGGGTTGGCCGAATCTTCAGTAGTTAGCATAACATCTTCTCAAAAAAGTCCAAATTCTTACACCCTCCATCCTCGATCCTGTTAGATTTCACCAACAGGCAAGTCACTTAACACACGTGCCCATAAACACAGTCAACACAGCCAGGCTTGGAAGAGAGATAAGTAAGAGATCTCCCAGAGGAGCAGAAAAGCTTTATGTTTCCAAATAAGCAGTTGGGAATTCACTATCCTGTAGCTTTGCCATCTTTTCTCGGGCAAAGAGACGCTTATAGAGAGATTTGAGATCATTGTTTTTAAGTGCTTTTCATGATGGACAAACTTTAAAGACAAAGTCATTCCTTAGTGCTATGTGGAGTTGTTTCCAGGACCCGCCCCGCCCCCACCATGGGTACCCCAAACCATGGGTGCTTGTTCCTTATTTTAAATGGCTATGCCATCTCTGGACTACTAGTAGTGTCTAACACAAAGTGAATGCTGTACAGATAATGGCTACACTATATTGTTTAGGGAATAATGACAAGTAAAAACGTCAGCATGTGTGCAATGCAAACAAAATATTTTTCCAAACGTTTTTGATGTGTGTTCGGTTGAAGTCATGGATGCAGAAAGCAGAGATATGAGGGGCTGACTGTGCTTCCGTTCAGTCAGTTTGAATGCTATCCCAGGATGCTGTGAAGACCCTCGCAGCCATGTGAGTATTTTCAGATAGAATGGAGCTGACAATATTCAGTGACACTTTAACACAGACTTTGATCTCACCAAGTTCAGTTCCCCACTCTCTCCCCAGCCCAGCCCCATTACCTGGAAATATCTCTCCAAGGCTTTCAAATTTCTTTCTCATCTCCTCATCTAACCTTTTTGGACCAACTGCCCCCTGTCCATATTCTTTCAGGCTGCTTTTCCCATTGCCTGTCCCCAACCCCACAGGGGAGGCTTCCTGACACCTGTCGGAGGAGCTGACTCCGAATCCTTGCAGTGCGGGGGCCCGCCTGTCCCCAGGACAGGTGCTGGGGAACCACTTTCTTTGCACTGTCAGCATCCAGATGCAATCCTGGCTTAGAAAATTTAATCAAAGTTAGATACTGCAGAAGGTGCCAGAATTGCAGGGCCACAAGGATGTGACCCCTCGAGTACAGATTTCCCATCTGCCATAGGAATCCTTTCTACAATATCCAGTGTCTTTAAGAAGGAAAGAGAAGCCCCAGGCCTCACAGTGTTCACATTCTCTGCTTGGAAACAGATTCCTTGCAGGAGTCAACAGCTGCCATCTGTAGCTCCTGCTGCAGCTGAGGTCCATACCTGGCAGCACAGATGTGAGTCTCATTCTGCAGGGTGTGTGTGGAAAGGGACAGGAAGTTACGAGAGCATTGCTCATTGCTCAGGTGTGAGATGTTGATGTGACGCATGAATTCATTTACCCGCAGCTTTGGAAAGTTGCTGTTAAATTTCTAATGGGGCAAAACAGGTATTTTAAAGTCGAGATTAAATGAGGTCATTTCTCGTTGATGTGCCAGGTGTGGGGATTTGGTAGCTAAAATCTTCCACTTAAATTAGCTCAAAAGGGGTAACCAGCTCATCAGGAAGAATTGTAAGATCTTTCCTTCCTGAGTACTTTATACAGAAATTTACACAAATATAGGGTTGGAAAATATTTTGGGGACGTTCCACTCTTCTATGTGGACTCAGGAATTTTCCTTTTTCAACATGTATTTTATTTTGTCTTTGATTAACATGTACTTATTGTGGAGTTTGGGGTAAGATTTCAATGCATTTCTTTCTTTCAAATGCTACCTACATAAAATCTTCCTGGATGTCAGAAAAGAGACCTACAATAAAATCAAGTACTAGTGCAATTAATTTTTTAATGATAAAATTGAAGAAAGTTAAATTTTTTTATCTTGCTTTCAATGTGTGTCCAACAAAGCAGTGCTGCACTCACATTGCGACAGGGAACAGAGAGTGCTGAGAAGTTTTAAAGGTGAAAGGCAGTCTTTGAAGGTCTTGTAACTGAACGCAGAATGCAAGGTAAAAATTAAAGGAGGTTTAATTATAACAAATGTAAACAATAGAAACACATTGATCATGTAAAAGTTTATGCTTTTAATAACATCTCTTAGAAAAACTGTACATCAAAATTAATTTCTTTTTTTTTTTTTAATATTTATTTCTTAGTTCTCGGCGGACACAACATCTTTGTTGGTATGTGGTGCTGGGGATCGAACCCGGGCCGCACGCATGCCAGACGAGCGCGCTACCGCCTGAGCCACATTCCCAGCCCATCAAAATTAATTTCTAAAGAAATTATATTTTACACATTTTCTCATCATATAACCAGAGACATTTTGATTACATAGTAGAAATCAGCATTAAAAAATAAACCTTTTGAAGCTGGGCATGGTGGTGCACACCTGTAATCCCAGCAACTCAGGAGGCTGATGCAGGAGGATAACAAGTTCAAGGCCAGCCGGGGAAATTTAGTGAGACCCTTTATCTAAATAGAAATACAAAGGGCTGAGGATGTAGCTCAGTGGTAAAGCCCCTTGGGTTCTATCTCCAGTACTGCAAAAATAAATAAATCAACTATTTCAAAATTTAATAAGCCACATAAAGTCATCTTTCAAGGAAAATGATTAATTACAAGCTTTGAAAAAATTCAAATAACCCATAAATGAAATTGGACAGAAATACATCTTACATAAATTCTACTACGTAACATTTGACTTTCACTGCTGAACTGTAGGACCACATCCAGTTTCAATATTTGCTTCATAACATCAACACTAGCTGACTAGCTAATGCTGAATCCAGCCAGAAACAAGTCATCTGCTCATGTGGTCGGACTTAGTAACCTCTTACCACACACTTGGCCTTTCAACAGTGCCAAGTTTTAATAGGGCTGGTCAACCATTAATAGGTGAAATTCTAAAAGACGTGTGAGGGTCAGTAATAGCCAGACTTTCGAACCAACGTGAAGGTCATCCAGCTGATGCTGGCGTCCAGTCTGTGCATACACGGGCAGGATTTCAGGAGGTTCATGGTGAGCTCCCATCAGACACGTCTACACCTTACTGGGCAACAGTGCAGTCCTGCACCCAGACCGGCAGGAGTTGACCTGTGTCAAGGACACACAGTTTTCTGCAGCTTTCAAGTGACTGTTTTTGTTTTTAAACAGGTTGTTTGGTATCAAATCAGTAATCCAGACAGACTGTTCCAGTACCTGGAAGATCGTAGTAAACCCAGAGCTATCCTGGTACCACCACGCCAACCCCATCCTGCTGTTGGTGATGTACTACACACTGGCCACGCTGATCCGCATCTGGTTGCAAGAACCCCTCGTAAGGACCAAAGGTTTCCTGCTCTTGTCCACTTAGGGACCTGGAGCCCGCAGGCTGAACGGCTCATTCCTGCTATCCCAACAGATCAGTACTGTATCCCAACACGGCCATTCCTGCTGTCCCTGACTGATCAGTATTGTATCCCAACATGTCCATTCCTGCTGTCCCCGACTGATCAGTAACACACTGGCGCCAGTGTGTTAGTTATAGTGATCAATTCTGCAAAGAGCGGTAAGCGAACAAGAATACTACCAGAGTGGAGACTAGCTTCCTTTGCTGAGAGCACAGTGCTGCTACACCTGGGTGAGGGTGCTCATTGTCACCGAGCAGGTACTAGCATCAGGCAGTGCTAGCTGGGCCCACCACCTGCTCTGGAAAGTCAGCATTGTGCCATTTCACAGCTGAGGAAAATGAGGCTGAGATCACACACTGATGGTGCAAGTCCAGTCCCAGCCAGTGCTCTCGGCCACGCTGAGGTCTTCAAGACCGCATGCCCCGCGCTCACAGTGATTGGGGCTCCCTTCTTCTCAAGAGCTCTTGTCCTCTGAGGGTGCTGTGGAGGTGGTCTAGTTCGGGGGGCCCATGCCTGCCCTGAAGTCAGGTGCACAGGACCCTACCTTTCTGCACGATTGAGAACTAGCTTATGTCCTGTGGGATTTCAAGGGGAGGGCTGCAGCTTGCATGGCTTCTCTCTTTTATTTTTTTTCAGCAATAAAAGGTTTCTGTCCTCCTCTCTTTCCCTAAAGGGCTGTGAGAGGCTCATGTGAGGCAGCCAGCCTATTGGCTCCTGCAGGAGACAGGCCCTGGAGGTGAGGGTGTCGTGCCTTCTCCTCACCACCTGCAGGGGGCGCCGATCAAGCCACAACTGCTGAGCCAACCTGGCTGAGCCCAGGTCCCCCTCCCGTCTGGCCTTCTGGATCTTTTCTGTCCTGAGGCCCAAGCAGGTTTCTGCTTTCCCGACCCCTGTCTTCACACCCAGACTGGAAGGTCCGTGCATGCATTCCATCTGTCAGTCAACAAATACTTCCCTCTGCATTCCACCTAGAGCCAGAGCCTAGCAGGCAAGGGCCCCGAGGGCCAGGCCTATACTCACAGGGACCCTGCGTTCTTCCAGCTGTCCAGAAGGGAAGGGTATCTGTATCAGAGAGGGTCGGTGGCACAGGGCGAGCTGCATGTCTGTGGATGCAGTGATCTGTCTGCCCTCCTGTGTGGTGCCTCTTCTCCACTTTTGGACAGGTACAGGGCTGTGGGGGAGCCATGGGCAGGGGCAGGATCCCAGGGACCATCCTGTCAGCCAGCTTCTCACAGATCACTCTACCTTTAGGGACTGATGACCGACACACATAGCGAGAAAATTCTCGCACCGTCAGAGGGAGTGAGGTCACTCTTGTTGCAGTTTTTTCAATTCTCTTCTAAAATATGTGCCAGTAAAACCCATGAAGATTTTGTGTTCACTTATCACACAAGCACGTGGATATGTACATGTGTATGTCCAGAACCAAGAACACGTACAGAAGAAGTCCAAATGCAGGATGGGCACTCACATCACCCACGGGAACTCCTTGCACATTACGGAAATGAAGGTGTTGGAGTGATTCTGAGCTCCAGCGCCTGCAGCTTTCCCTGTGGTCCTGCAGTCTCTGGAGGACGCAGTACAGGGTGAAGGTCTGCTCTTGTTCTGCTGTGGCTACTCTGGGCTGTTGGGAACGAGGGGCAGAGAGTGCTGGGAGAGAAGCCCGCCGCCGTGCACAGGCGATGGCAGTGACCAAGCCTCCGTGCCTGGAGGGTATGGAGTAGAGGGCTTAAGCTAGCGTCCACATTCCAGGTGGTCAGTACACACAGTGGCCAAGGAAGGCCTTTCTCACTGGGCAGTGTCCAAGCGCAGGCTCTGACAATATCAGAGTTCCAGATGACCTGGCATACCTTGTAGAAAATGCCAGCCACCAGAAGTGTGTGCCCAGGTAAAGGCCCGTCAGATGTGTTTGGGGTGGGAGAGAAGCAGACCTTGGGAGTCATGTGTCCAGTGCCCCTGCACTTGCCATGGGGTTGCCCCCAGGAGGCCTCACAAGCTGACATGCCATGGAGTCAGAGAAGCTGTTAGGTGCCTGCCACCTGTGAGCACCCTACAGGACCCAGCCAATCTAGACATGCCAGAACCCGCAGGTCAGCCTGGAGCTGGGCAAAATCACCTGTTACAAGCCCATTGTATGTAGTGCTGAATATCACGTGCCATCTGTTGGACACTGTCACACAATGAAACCAGTGGTGGTTGGGTACCCACTGTTAGCCTAAGGCATGCAACACATGGTACAGCCCCGTCCTTGCTGGTGCCCGTCTCAGCCCCCTTGGGAAGCCCCTGAGCTGTGCAGCAGAATTGCCCAAGCCAGGCACTGCCAGGCCGGGGAGCGGGGATGCTCCCCTCAGTTGCTCTGCCTGGCGCACTGGAACCCCATGTCGGGCAGTAAGGCTGTGTCCACACTCCCCACTCCAGGGTTGGTGATGTGCTAGTGTCCCTTCTGTGGGGTCGCCTTTGTTGGGAAAACATACCAAAGCACCGGCTGTCTCCTCACACTGACTCCGTCCTGTGCACCACCACTAACAGGGCCAGCGGGCGCCTCATCAGGCAGGCCCACAGGTGTGCTCCTGTGGCACTAGGTGTGCTCCTGCTTGACGCCACCTGTGAGCATCGGCAGGACTTGCCTTTGTCAACACCATCTTAGGGACAGGTCCCTGTGCTGGCTCACGCAGCAGCCCTGCCCTCTCGTGAAGGCTCGGCCCCGAAGCACGGCTGTTTCTAGTGCAATGCAGGTCCACACTGGGAAGCCATGGGTGCTCACGCTGGGAAATGTCATGGGCGTGCCGAGTCATGGGAATCAGGGACCATTTCACTTTGACATTCTTGTCAAGTACCGGAGAGCATTTTTGTGATTTTTAAGAGTGTGTTGATCAAATCCTATAGAGTATACACTAACTTTGAAAAATAATCACGTGGGGCAAAGATACAAAGCAGGCTACCCAGATCTGCTTCGGAGGCTGTCTAAGCTGCTGCTACTAAAAGATTTGACCAGAACAATTTTAGGGGACAAAAAAWTTTATTTGGGGGCTCACAGTTTCAGAGGTCTCAGTCCATAGGCAGCAGGCTCCACTCCTCGGGACTCAAGGTGAAACAGGACATCATGGCAGGAGAGTGCGGCAGAGGGAAGCAGCTCACATGATGATCAGGAAGCAGAGACTCCACTTGCCAGACACAAATAGATACCCCAAAGCCACGCCCCAGTTCCCACCTTCAGCCACACCCCACTGCTCAGTTATCACCCCGTTAATCCCTATCAAGGGATTAATTCACTGGTTGGGTTTAATGCTMTAGCACCCCAATCAGTTCTCCTCTGAACCTTCTTGCATGTCTCACCCGTGAGCTTTTGGGGACACCTCACATCCACACCATAACAGAGGCAGATCTGTCTCTGTGACTGTTTCAGGTGCAGGACGAGAAGACCAAGGAGGAGGACAGATCCCTGGTTTGCAGCTCCAACCAGAAAACTGCGGAGAGGAAGCGGAGCCTGTGGTACGCAGCCCAGTACCCAACGGACGAGAGGAAGGTGGGTCGGGCTTTGTCTCCTGTGTGCATTCTGTTGCTGAATGAGAACCTCACATAGCAGATGTCAGCTCAGGTTGCTTCTAGAAACAGTCTGAGTCGGAGGACTTGGAGGCAGAGCTGTATTCAGAGAGGGACCAGCACTCCACCCCTGGGTCCAGTTAGACCCCATGAAAGCACCACATCTCTGACTGCTTCAATTCTACMAAGAAAGAATGCTCCTACTTTTTAAATTCTATATTTAAAGAAAACAAAAAGTAAGGAAGGACACTGTGGCATTGGAGAATGAAAGTTTCGGTGTTGAAATACGTCATTGCAAATAATTTCCCTCCACGGAGTAGTCGGCCACAGTTGTCACTCAAGAACCTCCCGGAGAAGACCCCAAACTCCCTGCATGTGTGTATGGACAAGGAAAAGTGGGTCACAGGGGTAGCCCCCAGAACTCCTGCGACAGACRCTACATGTGATACGTAATTCAGACGCCTTTGCTCATTGACTGGCCATTTGAACTCCGTCAGTGCTGTGTCGACTTGCTCTAACACCCGTTTGGAGTGCTGTGGAGACAGGTCCTTTATCATTCTTGATGGGGTCAGCATTTTGCTTCCTAGCATGCCAGAAGAGGAGGGGCTCTGGTATATGGTGGCAGGTGGGTTTCCCTGAGACCCTGGGCCTGCTGTCAGTGTGCCTGTCCTGTGCTGAGAGGCCGGGAGGACAGGAGGTGCCAGGAGGACTGACCGCACTGTGRGGCAGGCATAAAACATCTGGGGGTTTTCAGGGACGCTATTCTCTGGTTGTGCCAGATTATCTTGTCCATCCCACTAAACAATGGACAGAGACAGAGGACAGTCCCCACTTCCAGAGTGAGGACCCAGCCTCTGGGGACGCTGAGCCCTGGGAGGAGTCCTCAAGGGCATGGAAGGCCTGTTCTGTGCTACAACGAGGAGCTGTGCCTGGGGATACAAAAGCAGGGGTGAGACCGCCCTGCCAGGGCACAGTCAGGGCCTGCACAGAGCCCGCCCACACGGCAACCATCCATCAGGCCCCAAGGCCAACCATGTGCTTGAGTGTCCTTGATGAGCCAGAGGAGTGAGTTCCAGCCACATGGCACATCATCATGTCCCCGGCACTGACGGTCCACAGATAGGACTGTGACCCTGAGAGACTGTGATGGCCGACACACTCTGTCCCYGAGACAAGGCTGTGGGTCATGGCCTGGCACTGCTTGCGCAGTGTGCACCAGCACTCTTGTAAGACCAAGTCAGTTGGTGCAGCCTCAGTGTGCGGGCTTGTCCCCCAGGGGACGCCCATGGAGTCCTGGGCCTGGTGCCCCTTGGCTTGTGGCCACCAGCAGCACCTGGTCCTGCAGAACCAGCATCCTTCCCACATTTTGTTTTTCACACCACATTTTAGCTGCGCATTTTCTGTGACCCTCAGGAAACTACCACTGGCTGAATCTGGGCTTGCACCAGAGGGGAGTCCTCCTCACTGTCTGCACAGACTATCAGAACGCTCCTTGTGTGCTAGGTCACACCATTGTGCTGGGGATGTCTGCTGTGCTCAGTGACATCATGAACAGGCAGGAGCAGGAGCTACGCCCCGAACAGCGCAGCTAGTTTGTGAGATTAACCCTTCACACACTCACACAGCAAGCAAAGGCCTCACCGTGTGCTTCTGGGGTATGCACCTTTGTCAGGTAACGAAGGACCATGATAATTTTGTTCAGTTTCAAGCTTGAAGCACACGTCTTTCTCTGTGACAAAATGGGCCTTCTGCCTAATGTGCCACAAACCACCTGATAACTGACAGAGGGAGAGTGCAGGCCAGCCGAACGCACTGTGACAGCTGTCCCCAGAGCACACCTCCCGCTCCACGGGGCAGTGATGGACAGACCTGCTTGGTCAGACCCGGATATTTGGCAGATAACTACTTGCAAGTAAATGAAGCAAGCAGGTCACTTCAAGGCAAATAACTGGCAGAGTTTATTGCCAATTGTAAAACTTCAACATTTGAGTAAAAAAAAAATCAAATTTTGGAAAACTTGTATCCATCAATGAGACTTTGAAAACAATATATTTAAGGACTTTTTGGAGGAGTCCTTTTTGAAATGGCTTTTGAACACACGTGTTTTTGAAATGTTACACAGTATCTCAATGTTATTTAAATATTTAATGTGCTCTTCGAATGTCACTCAACCGGGTCAGTACTGGGTGGAGCTGGGGTCCCTGTGGCTGGCAGCACCAGGCAGGGGYAGGAGGCCGTTCTGGTGCAGCCGGTGCCTGCAGGTCCTCACAGCAGAGGGAAGGACACTCCACTGTAATTCCAGGCCCACGCTGTGAGGACCTCAGGAAACTACCACTGGCTGAGTCTCGTGTTGCTCGGGAGAGGACTCCTCCTCATTATCTGCAGAGACTATTAAATGCTCCTTGCTCTTCCACCCACCTGCTCTGTGAGGCCAGCTTTCTTGATATCCTAACCCAAGCAACACAGCACACAAGAACAAAAGCAGAAGCWCGGGCGGAAACCCAGCGGCCCTCTGTGAACCAGACGTGGAAGAGATGTGTCAAAGTACAGAACAGTGACAGTCTTTTCAGTATATGGGCTTCTAGAATAAAAATAGCGTCTAAAAGCTATTTGAGCAATTTTCTTAAAATATAATGGGCTTTTCAATTTTTATTGAATTGATAAATAAACAATTTTTTTTTACATGCCTCAGTTTGAATTTCTAATGTGAGACAGTGGCAGACGCCACATAATCTCCCCCTACCCTGGATCTTTCCAAGACTGTAGAGGAGTCCTGACTCCAAAACCTAACCACCTYATCGCTGTGCTATATGTTGTTTGGGGAAGCCCCAGTCACCTAGCACTAATGCAGTTAAAAAATCAATCATATCATGATGACTTTGTTGTTGACAATTTATAAACCCAAAGTAATCTCAAATCTCAGTGTACATCTAACTGTTTTGTAGTAAGAAACTTGTGCTTCTTGGAAAACAAATAGTTTCAGGATTCTGCAGATGTCCCAGAGGGTTCCAGAGCTTAACCTAAGCAGTGCATTTCTATTAGAACAGAACACTTGAAAATGGTCATTTTTGAAAGTGCWTGATTCACAGTTGGCTGTTTGTGGTCAGGGTCCTAAGCAAACTTCAGATGCTGCAAAATGGTCATGATGAGCAGTGTCCAGCTCGGGCAGTGGCCCTTTGTACTCACATGGCAGTTTCCATGCACACTAGCACTCGGGGGGCTGGAGAGCGGGCGTGGGGCCTGGTGGACGCGGTCAGCTTCTGCTCACCTGCTAACGTGCTGTCCTGCTTTGCTTTTTGCAGCTTTTATCCATGACCCAAGACGACTACAAACCATCTGATGTTAGTACCTCTTTAGAATTACCCTTTTTGTGTGTGTGTGAGTGATTTAAAAGTGACAAATGAAATGACCTCCTTTCAGTATATTTTAAAGATCCATGAAACCTTCCTATGCTTTTAATTTTTTTCTTGCAGAAATTATATCTGATTTGTTGCTGTGAAATATTGACTCATGAGATTGAATATATTAATACAAAATATATTTAGACTTTTTTAAAGCCTTGCTTGTGGGGTTGTGTTTTAAGCATTTTGTTCTGTAGCTCTACTAATTATTAAATAATTTTAAAAAGGAAGACTTACATGCTCATAGATACACATACGTGTATTTATATGTTTATCTCAGAACTTATAATGCCACAGTGACACATGGGGAAAATCCCAGTGTTGGCACTTAGTGAATTTCAGCCTTGCAGTTGGGCAGAGASCCCAGAAGGGAGCATCTCACCTGGGTGCAGAAGGACTTTTGCAGCTGCCCTGTGCAGAGCTGTGTGGAGAGGGGGTAGGACCCACTCTCTGGGCTGGGCAGGGAAGGCATGAARGACCACACAACCAGGGGTGGCTGGGAGGTGGGCAGTGGCAAGAGCTGAACCTGAAGAGGTCAGCCCAGACCAGGAAGGCCCCCTGGACAGTTGCAGTCTATCCTGAGGACAAGGCGTGCATCGCACGGTTCACAGGCGTGCCGCACACGAGATCAGGTGTGCCGCACACGAGATCAGGTGTGCATTTCATCTGGTCACTCTAAGATCAGGTTTGGAGAGATGGTACCTGATTCCTCCTGCTAAAATACGTGTCATTGACCGTGGCACCCGGCTTTCAGTCAGCTTGTCACTGGGGGTTGTGCATGGAGGAMGGGTGGGAGGAAGTAGGTCCACACTGCAACCCACCCTGTGGTCACAGGTGTCCTTCCCCATGCTCCCCGCAGGGCCTGCTTGTGACGGTGAACGGCAACCCTGTGGACTACCACACCATCCACCCCAGCCTGCCCTTAGAGAATGGCCCCGCCAAGACCGACCTGTACTCCACCCCCCAGTACCGGTGGGAGCCCTCTGCGGACTCGACAGGTAACCAGCCACACAGGGCGCATGTCTCGTTCGGGGTCGTGCACGGGCGTGCAGGTGGTCCCCGAGTTTTCAAGGGTCCGTGCTTCCTCTTCTTGCTGACAGAAGTCCCCTGCGGTAACCTATTTATGTGCAGCCCACTTAACTTAAACAAAGAGGAAGGACATTTGCTTCATGATGTAGCACATTTAGTGTTGCAGTCTGACCCCTGTCTGGGTCAGGGTCCGGGGTGAGGGGCCGGTTCCTGCACCTGGGTTGCTCCTGAGCCTGCAGTGAGGGGCTGCCATCTTGCTGGAGGCTCCCCTGGGGGGCTGTGTCCAAGTCCCGCTGTGTAGCTACTGGCTGGAGACCTCAGGTGCTCGCCACCCAGGGCTCTCCAGGGGCACTTACCCCTGGGGCTGGCTTCCCTCAGAACAAGAGTGGGATCTGTCACCCTTTCCRTCTAGAAAGAAAGCATCCAAAGCAAAAGCCACGGCCTTAGACCAGAGCCTTCGGGAGTGGCCTTGTTGTTGGAGGCCCCCCATATGCAGGGGAGGGCATCCAAGGGGCAGGAACACAGGAGCAGGGAGCTCGGGGCCAGGTTAGGGGCTGTCTTCGCCCACCTTGTGGAGATGGTCTTCCCTCCTAGTGCTGGGTGCCGGGTGTCCTGGCCCTGGCCAAGCAGGGCTGACGGAATGGTGAGAATCCTAGGGGCTCTGTTAGTTGGGAACGACCCCTCGAGTCTCCCCTAAAGGCCGTACGTGCCACAGGAGGGCTGTCCCTGGGGACACTCACAAGAGATGTCGGGCGTTGGCATCGAGAGTTACGTAACGCGTTTGTCCATCTAGAGAAGAAAGAGGAAGAAGAGGACGAGAAAGAGGAATTTGAGGAGGAAAGGAGCCAGGAGGAGAAGAGGAGTGTCAAGGTCCACGCCATGGTCTCCGTGTTCCAGTTCATCATGAAGCAGAGCTACATCTGCGCCCTCATCGCCATGATGGTGCGTGTGAGTGGTGCCGCCAGAGGCCGGGCTCAGTCTTCCCAGTGCCGGGTTGACAGTGTCGGCCGGGTTGACAGTGTCGGCTGGGTTGACAGTGTTGGCCGCGTTCATTTTTCATGGGATTTTTATATCATAGACTGCAAAACTGTGTCCTCTTCAACTCTCTCAATATTAATATTAATACCCTCTCTAGCGAGATGAGTCACGTGTTGACTAAGGAATATAAAGCAGAGGCCGAACAGCCCAGCTGCCCTGGAACTCAGCATGGTAAACAGCACAACATGGGTTCTTCTTCCTAGCTATGGAAACCCGGAGTGAACTGCCTGGGCATTGAAAGGCCAAGACTCTTTCTTTCTTTCCTTCCTTTCTTCCTTTCTTTTTTTCTTTTCTTTTTTTTTTTTTTTTTGGTACTGGTGATGTAATGGCAGGGGCTCTTTACCTCTGAGCCACATCCACAGCACTTTTTATTTCTTATTTTGAGACAGGGTCTTACTAAGTTGTTTAGAGTCACACCAAATTACTGAAGCTGGCCTCAAACTTGTGATCCCCCTATCTTAAAGATAATTTTCCTGTATCATACAAAAATGGCAACATTCTATCTGCTTGGCACGGTGTGTGTGTGTGTGTGTGTGTGTGTGTGTGTGTGTGAGAGTGTGAGGCTTCAAACACACTACTGAATACAAATTCACTCAGTGTGCGTAGAGTACAAACACGGCAGCTGTCACCTAATCTTTGGTGAACGCTCTTGCATAAGAATAATATTTTCAGGAAAATAATTCAGACCATTGTAGTTGTCAGTTACTAACGTAATTTTAATAAATTTTAATTTAATTTTAATCATGCATTTTTACTAACAGTTTTAGATAGCTCATTACAGTTGTTTGTGACTCTGCAAAATAGGGTGAAAATGAAGAGGTTGGTGGCAGAGGGAGCACGCTGGCACCATACAGGGCCTCTGACTCTGCCTTGGAGGTTCGCGGGCAGGACCCTCGCAGCACCTCTCCCTGGCCTCCACTCTGCGCTGGAGCCCAGGCGGGCCTCTCCCCCTCAGTCAGCTATGTGCTCTCCTGCGCTCACGCAGTACCTCCCTTCTCCCCAGGCCTGGAGCATCACCTACCACAGCTGGCTGACCTTCGTGCTGCTCATCTGGTCCTGCGCCCTGTGGATGATCCGCAACAGGAGGAAGTACGCCATGATCAGCTCACCCTTCATGGTTGTCTACGGGAACCTGCTGTTGGTGCTGCAGTACATATGGAGCTTTGAACTTCCAGAAATCAAAAAGGTCCCAGGGTTTCTAGAAAAGAAAGAGCCAGGAGAGCTTGCATCAAAGGTAAGTGAATGGAAAATCAAGAAAACAGAACCGTGCTGATCACAATCATCACATGAAGCAAACCTTATAACGCTAGGCTCCAGATATTCACTCCTTTGCAGAAATTAACAGACACAAACCTGTGAGAAATAGTTTACATTGCTTAGAGGCTGCTGTAATTTAGCATGTAGTACACCATGCTGTTAGCTTATTAATATCAGCACTTTCTACTCAGAGAAAAATTAGAGTATAAGCTATTTTTAGCATATGATAGTAATTAGATATGAAAATAGGAATATACAATGTGAAACAGAAAAATACAATATAAAATATCTCAAGGGGCTAGAGGATTTTCTTGGATTGATTATTAATTTGTAAAATTGACTTATTAGCACATTGCTTATTTTAGTCAAGCATTTATTATTAACAATGTGTTTACTCCAATCCTGTCCTAAAACACATTCTTAGTAGCAAAATTAAATATGACACATGCTTTTTTTTCCTCTACTGATTTGCCTTCACCTGTGGTCAGGACATTCATAATCTCTTCCTGGCTCATTTATTTTCACTGGCTGTCTCAATAGTTTTTATTTCAGAAGGTTGGGAGACCCCATTTATAATCTTTTTTTGTTAACAAAATGGTAGGTGCTGTTGGGAGTCGCCCTGGCTGCAAAGACTAACTTCCCCATCTCCCAAGAAGAGCCGTCCAATGATGAGCCCTGCTGGCTCACATGATCCTTACCCACCAATCAGACTAGCCCTGCTGGCTCACATGATCTTATCCACCAAACAGACTAGCCCCGCTGGCTCACCTGATCCTTACCCACCAATCAGACTAGCCCTGCTGGCTCACATGATCTTACTCACCAATCAGACTAGCCCTACTGGCTCACCTGATCCTTACCCACCAATCAAAAAGCACCCCATGCCAACTGTCAGACCACCCCCGGCTCTATAAATATGCAGAGCTGCCTCAATAAAGGGGCATTTTTCTCCGACGGCAAGCCTTGATCGTTCTGTCAGGTGCCATACACATCTCTGGTTGATGACTGTGTCTTGAGGTAGTAAAATCAATCAGGTCTGAACATTCCATGAGCCTTGAAGGTTGCTCTCCACAAGATGAGGAAAATCTGTGTCTCTGGAGAGGGCTGAGGTAACGCCCATGAACTTCACCTTCTGCGGGAGCAACCACGTGAAGGTCACCAGACACCCCCTATCCAATCCCAGCTGGCTGTAGACAGGGGCTGACTGGACTGGGCAGAGATTGATCCTGTGACAGTTTTTGAAAAAAGGCTATTGTGTAAAAGAAAAATTTCCTAACAGGTGCAAGCCCGCAGGAGAGGCGAGACAACATCTCCTGTGTGTGGGCCAGACGTTCCCTTCACTCACCCACTCCACTTCCGTCCCCGCTGGTCCTGTGGAAGAGCCTCCTACCAGTACCTTTACCTGGGGGCTTTCCTTCCACCTCCTCCCTGGGCTCCTCCCAACCGCAGGCACAGCTCACTCCACGGGTAATCCAGTTGTCTTCTATAAGAGAAATTCAAGATCATAGAGAAATTCGAACTCGCATCCTTCTGACTGAATTCATCACAACCTGATTCGGACTCTCAAAGACAACAGACAGCACCAACTCCCTAGCTGAGCTCCCTCCTGGCTAATTAGAATTAACAATTCTTTGAAGGGAAATGTTATTTGGTGATTAACTTTGTTAATAATTTTTTAAAAAACACTAATTCCTGGAAGCTAGGATCTGTATTTATATTTTAATGCAACTGGGGGTTTTAAAAAAAAAGGGGGGGGAAAGAGCAAGATTTTTGTCAAAGACATTAATGACACAGGCTCATTGACCCTCCAACATAATGATGTCTTCCAAACACTTTTCTAAGCACACTTTACAGAGTGCTGGTGAGTCAGGATTGGGTAAGGAGAGAAAGGAAGGATCAGGCCTCCATCCTAGAAGCTCTGCAGGCTCCCAGACAGATGGCATGGTCTGCAGCATCCCGGAGCCTGTCTCTTCCTGGCCCCCAGATGGCATGGACCCCACTTCTAAGGCCTGGCCTCCAGGATGCTTTCCCCAGCACAGGTGCCCCACCTGGCCTCATTGCTGCTGACCTCTCTGAACACAGGTGACAGAAGCAGATTCCTTTCTGTTTATTGCCGTAGTCAACTCCTGGCGCCCTCCAGGATTTTCATGCCAGGTTTTCAGAATCGCAGGTGGTCTGGCTCTTGACTTCCTAGGGTCCTGGTCATGCTCAGCAGGACTTCCTGCTGCCTGTTCATGTGAACGCCCCACGGAGAGTGAAATGGGCAGTTACCCTAAGTGAAAATCCATCCCCAGCATCCAAAAAAAAAAATTGTGTGTGATTTAAGGGTTCTATTATATTCACAAAGCTATGACTTGTTCATTTGCCTTTTTAATTCTTTAATTTCTTTGGCAAATATTTATTAAAAGCTTACGATGAGGCTCCCTGCCACACCGAGGCTGCACACGGGAGGCCAGACCACCACCACTGACATGCACTTTGTCACTCCTATCTGCTGGCCACCCTCAGGGGCACCTCCTCCCCTTGCACCAAGGACATCAGAAGATCCTGGACAGCATGGGCCTCAAGGTGGATGATGGCCTGCTCAGCAAGGTCATCAGTGAGCTGCATGGAAAAACAGTGTCCTAGCCTGGTACTGGCAAACCTGCCAGTGTACCCGCAGAGTGGTGTGGCTGGGGCTGTTTGTGCCGCCCCTGGCTCAGCAGCTCCTGCTGCAGCAAAGGAGAGGAGAGACGAGGAGGAGTCTGAGGAGGCTGTTGATGACATGGGATCTGGGCCCTTTGGTTAAATTCCTGTTCCCCTGCAAATGAAGCTTTCTTATGTAAAAAACAAACAAAAAAGCTTATGATGAGAGCTATCACTCCCAGCCACCAGGAAGGCCATAATAAAAGACAATAGGTGTGACTGAGGTCATTGGGACGTGTGAGCTGCTGGTGGGAATGTAAGTTGGTGCAGCCCCTGGAAAACGTTCAGCAGTCATTGTTCCTTAAAAAGTCAAACACAGAATCACCATGAGACCAGCAAGGCCCTCACCCCGGGGGAATGGAAGACACAGGTGCACAGAAACCCAGGCCTGAGTGGTCAGGCAGCATTCGCCATCGCAGCTATGAAACAAAGTGCCCATGTGCCTGTCAGCCCACGCGTATGCATGCAGAGTGTGCACCTGTGCATGGAGCAGTGTGGAGTGAGGAGGAGGAACGCAGGGCGGTGCGTGCCACAACAGGAGTACACCTACACTGCTGAGAGAGGTGGCTACACAAGGCCTTGACTTAATATGTCCAGGTTGGGCCAATCCATACAGCAAAAAGGAAATCCCTGGTTGACTAGAGTCACAGGAAGAAGAGGAGGTCCCTCTTCAGGTGCTTCTTTTTGAGGAGATTGAACAGTTTTCAGGCTGGAGGGATGGCTCAGTGGTGAGTGCTTGTGTAGCATGAGTGAGGCACTGGGTTTGATCCCCAGTATCAAAAAATAATAATAATAATAATAATTATATTATTGATTTAATATATATATATTAAATCAATTACGACAGTGGTAACACAGTCACAACCTTGTGACTGCACCAAAACCCACTGAATTACACACTGAGCCACACCCCAGTCCTTGAATGATACACTTTAAGTGGGTGAATTGTGTGGTATGTGAATTACATCTCAATAAAGCCATTACCAAAACAAACCCTACCAGGAACCAAGTTCCAGATTTCCTAAGAGTGAGGCATGGGTCACCTTTTCCCTCAGTGCTCAGGGAAATGCTGATAGGTAGTGTGGGCGCAGGGGTCTCCTCTTGCTTCAGCACCAGAGGGAGTGGGAGTAATCAGGGGCATGTTTTCTGGGGTGAACTTTCTTTTCCCATCTGCAGCATTCTTAAGGATCACTGTGGGGGTCAAAGGGGTGTCACAGGAGAAGTGACCCTCCCCTCACTTGGCAGCATCCTTACAGTCGGGCAGACACTCCAGGACAAGCCCCGGGAGGGACCCAGGTGCTGGCGCTGCTGTCCTGCCAGGTGGCCGTGCCTTCGTTGGCTCTTCTCCTCCCAGGGCCACACAGTGCTGAAGATTCTGCTGGCCCTGGACACCTGCCTAAGAGTCCCCACTGCAGAGCAGCAGCAGCTCTGTCAAACCCAAGGGCACCTTGACCATCTCACCCATGGTGGTTATTTGTCGTGCTCCCTCTGGGACAGTGCAGAAAACGGTGTATTTGCAGAAGTGTGTTTAGGCTGCAGATTTGTGCTTAACTCTTGTTGTGCTTTTTCCCTGGCCCCAGATTCTGTTCACTATCACCTTTTGGCTCCTGCTGAGACAGCACCTCACAGAGCAGAAAGCTCTTCAGGAAAAGGAAGCTCTTCTGTCTGAAGTCAAAATTGGAAGTCAGGAAAATGAAGAGAAAGGTAAATTTGTGTGGACAGGGTGTGACCGCAACTTCTTGAGCTCAGCAAAGTTACAAAGAGCCCCAAATAGGTCGGAAATTACACGCTGAGCTACACCCAGTCCTTGAGCGATACACTTTAAATGGCTGAATTGCATGGTATGTGAATTACATCTCAATAAAGCCATTACCAAAACAAACCCCGATTAATGGAAGCCAGATTTGAACTTGAATCAATAAATACAACATTATAATGTGTAACTTTCAAAGAACACACGAGTTCACAGAGGCCTTTTAAAAACTGTTCATTTGATCTCCCCAAAGTGATTCCCAACAGAAGAAACTAAGGGTCCCCCAAATTGCATGGTTTCTCCAAGGACTCACTCATCTTTAATGAAAATGGAACCTAGAAACGAACTGGCATTGTCTAAATTCTTTTCTGAAAATAATACACTACCAAGTAAATGAAAAGGAGGGAGTGAGGGGTGGGGGGAAGAGCACACCTTCTTTTAGTATCCCTGTGGTTTGGGGCCTGCTGTGTAGGTAACTGGGAAGGACTTGCCCTCAGAGCTCTGGACCAACCCCCTGCTGTTAGCATTCACAGCAGCTGGGCTGCACCTTGACCCAGGCACCGCCAGGAAACAGGCCATCCGCCATGTTTATATAATTAGCCCTAATCACTGAGGTGTTTTCCAGCAATAAGTCTGTCTACCAGGCTCAAATCTTGCTATATGAGTTCCAATGTGTGATTAGCACAATGATCAACCAGTTGATTTTGGTAAATGGTTCATTTGAGATCAACCATGGGTCTGATTGCACTCTGAGTTACTGGTTGTTTGAATAAATTACTCAAATATAGGTATCCTTGCTAACCCAGATATGAATCCTGTGTCTTACAGTATTTTAAAGCAAGAGGAAGTGTTCTTAATTCCAATACATAAAATTGCTTTAGACTTAAACTGTAATCGTTCTGTAAATCTAATTTAAATCCATCATATTTGGCTTCAACTCTTAAAGTTTAGGTTATTTAAATGATTAAATAACAGAGCAGTCTAAATCGTATAGTCACTCATAAATTGCATGCTCTTATGTCCCATGAATGTCACACGGCCAAAGTGAGGTGCTGGTCAGATAACCAGTGAAGGATAATGATGTCGTGTTCTGCCGTTCAGACGAGGACCTTCAAGACATACAGGTGGAAGGAGAGCCCAAAGAGAAGGAGGAGGAGGAGGAAGCACAGGAGGAGGAGCAGGAGGACGAGGATGAGGACCAAGACATCATGAAGGTGCTGGGCAACCTGGTGGTGGCCATGTTCATCAAGTACTGGATCTACGTGTGTGGTGGCATGTTCTTCTTCGTCAGCTTCGAGGGCAAGATCGTCATGTACAAAATCATCTACATGGTGCTGTTCCTGTTCTGTGTGGCCTTGTACCAGGTGGGTGGATGGCTTGCTTGACCTCAGTTCCCATACCCATCCCCGGAAGAGATGAGCCTCCTTGTAGAGCTCTTGCTTGCTATAACCCCACAAACAGATCACACAAGTCATGGCTGAAATCAAACACTACACCCCTAGACTCCTGAGGTGGGGAAGCACAATTATCGACTGGTTTTCTTTTTAAAATTTTTAGATTCTTAAAATGTCAGAAAAATGTTTATAACTTTTTCAAAAATTCTTGATATAAAAAACCTGATTATTTAGAAATTTAAGAACAATGTCTAGACAATTTTAAACTAGTTTGCTTGTATCTCAGGCTTTGGTTTAAGAAAACCACACGTGTGTGGGTGTGTAGATGTGCATACATGTGCATACTCCCTCACAGGCTTCTGTGTTTCATTAACATTTATAAAGGATCACACTGTGATGAGCTTGCCTCTCCACAAACCTAGCTTTAACTGGGGTTAGAAGGGAACCCAGGGAGAGAACGGGGTAAGGGTATAGTATTCTTTCAGGCCAAGAGCAAATAAACCAAACAATAATCAAGAATGTGTCACACATGGAGATAAAAAGGTCTCGCCTGAACTAATGAACTTTTAAATACTTTGACAATACACTACAGATGTCTTTAAGACTACCCACAGCTTAGAGAGCCGGCTTCTCCCTGGGGCTGTGACATGTGTACTCTGAGCAGACCTCTGAGCAGCAGTTGCTGTTCCCTAGTGCCTCCGAGACATAGGACAGCCTGCTGGGAATCACAGGCCTCTTGTCCACTCCATCTTCATAACCACCCCACAGGACACAGACTTCAGAGGAGGAGACAAAGCCCAGCTGGGTCCAGACACTTACCTGAAGGCCACAGGGCCAGTAGAACAGGGCTCGGAGCTTCTCCCCCAGATCCACCAACTGAAATAAGAAACAAAATGTGAAAGATCTAAAAATGAAGGAACTGTATTTTCAGACCCTTTTTTTGTCTATGATCATTTGTCCTAAAGAAACCAAATGCTTTTGTGGGGGTTTTCCTCTAACTGTTCTTCATCTCCTTTGCTTTTCGATATCTGATTCCCAGGTGCACTATGAATGGTGGAGGAAAATTCTGAAATATTTTTGGATGTCCGTGGTTATTTACACGATGCTGGTGCTTATCTTTATATACACATATCAATTTGAAAACTTCCCAGGCCTGTGGCAAAACATGACCGGATTGAAAAAAGAAAAGTAAGTGATCTGGGCAACAGTGGGATGTGGAAGTGACGGGGAGAGGGCGGAGATCTGAATGCATATTGTTCAAAAAAAAAACTTTAGGGAAGATTTTGGCAAAACGTGATGCCGTCACTGTGTCCTGAGTGGCAAGGAGGAGCTCTGAAAGGAAAGGCTCCCCAGGGGGCTAGATGGGCATGCTCAGGGTGTGTTCACCAGGGATCCTCCAGGGCCCCCCTGCCAGGGGCCCTGGGCCTGGGGATGCAGCAGGGAGCCAGAAGGGCCCTCTCACCCGGGCAGCATCTATTCTAGCAGAAGGACAAATGAAAACCTTGCAGTGGGTGTGAGCTCCTCCCCAGCTGGTGAAGGGTGGGGGATGATGAGTGTGGGAAGGGGACAGCAGGCCCAGGGAGGGGACCCTGAGTGGAGAGGCCCCGCCTGCCTCACTGAGTCCTTCTGACCCTGATGCTGATCAGAGCCACCTTCTCAGGAGGACTGAGCTGGGTCTGGGGGCCCTGAGGGGGAAGAGGGCTGGCCTGGGGCCTTCAGAGAGGGGAAGGAAGGTCCCTGCAGGAGCCAGGAGGAATGGGAGGGGAGGAGTGCTGGTGGCTCAGGGCAGGTGGCTGCTATCTTCCTTGTACTGGAATTTTTTTTTTTTAAGTCTTGAAAGATCCTTGACTGACAGAAAGTGCAATGCAAATAGAAATAAGACAGTTCACAGGCAGTAGCCGTGGTCCTGGGAGAAGTGACCATGGTCCACCTGGAATCTAAGGTGGCAAAGACAGATAGCAAAAAAGGCAGATTTGGGAAGTACAGAGGAGGCTGAAGCCGACGCCATGGCTGTGATGTGAAGGAGAGAATCAAAGACTTCCGACTTGTGGATTTCATGCAGGGTCCACTGTTAGGCCACTTACTGGTCCGAGGACGACCATGAATGGGGGTCAGGGAGGTGGAGAACGGCTTCACAAAGAAGAGGAAGACAAAGAACAGTTTTGAAAACCTCCAATGTGAAATACCTATGAGCAGACATGCTGCAGTAGAGATTGGGTAGGAGAGGACCCAGGAGAAGGCCATGCCACGGTGGGCACTTGATCCTGGGCGTGCAGCTGGTGTACAAACCCAGGGACTAGATGAGATCACCAGAGGAAGGTACAGGTAGAGAGGAGACTCAAAGCTGAGTGCTGGAGATACTTCAGTGTCCAGAGGAACCAAAGGATCCATTCAAGAGGGACTGAGGCTGAACTAAGGAAGATGGCCCCGTCCAGGTTGTGTGGACCATGGTGAAGCTTGGCGGGTGGGACTGGTGGACTGTGTGGGAGAGCGGTGAGGCCAGTGGTGAGAGAGAGAGACTAGTATGGCTGAGGAGAAGACGGTGTCCTCGCTGCTAAGAAGGTTCCTGCTCTTGCTCTGTCCCTTCCAGGCTAGAGGATCTGGGCCTGAAGCAGTTCACTGTGGCAGAACTGTTCACGCGCATCTTCATCCCCACCTCCTTCCTGCTGGTGTGCATTCTGCACCTCCACTACTTCCACGACCGCTTCCTAGAACTCACAGACCTCAAGTCCATCCCCAGGAAGGAGGACAACACCATCTACAGGTGAGCCGCCAGAGAGGTGCTGCCCTCGTCCCCAGGCAGCCCTGGGACCCACCCGGGCTGCTGCTCTCCCTTCCAGCGATGGTCAGCGCTTTACAATGGTCGTCGGGGCACACTTACCAAGGTCTGTGGAAGCCACCATTCCGCCACAGGAAAATGACAAGCATCCATCTGATGGACGGACGCTAATGGTGTTTTTCCTCAGGGGCTCCAGTGTGGCCCATGATTCAGTTCCCTAGAAAACACTTGCTGAGCTCGAAGGGATAAAGGTGCTATTTGAGTGGGAGTACACAGAGCCAGCCGTGGCGCAGGTCTGTTATCACAGCCGTTCAGCAGGCTGAGGCAGGATGAGGATGTGGCTTGGTGGTTAAGTGCCCTTGGATTCAATTCCTGGTTCAAAAAAAAAAAAAAAAAAAAAGAGTATACCAACCCCAGGTGGAAATTCCCTTTAGCTCTTTGAGTTCAAGGGGGGAAATGAGCACCTCAGTAGCAAATGAAGTAGGATTTCATTCTATTCTCAGGAAATTTTAACCTTCCAACACTTTCTAACAGGAGCTGGAATGAAATGATGAAAATATGATATAATCCTTATGATTAGTAGATTCGCTTTCCTAATTTGCTTAGTTTGAACTAAGATTTACTTAGTTTCATTCTGAGGGTGTTCCAGACCACCGTCAGCATGTCAGTCACTACCAACCAGGAAGGCCAAGAGGTCTCGCCCGCCAATGTGCCCTGCACCATCTCCCACCTCATGAGCAGGGTCAGGGGCTCAGAATCCCTGTGTGCTGTGTACTTACTTCCTTTAGTGATAATCAGACACTAGGAAAAATAAAGATGTTCTTAGAAATTTGGGGACCCCATAGGTGGTCTTGCTGGCAGGAAAAAATCACACAAAGTTTTAAAATTTGTAAAGAGTACTCGTGTAAAAAACTAACAGCTGTCAATAATTAGAGAAATGATAGCGGGACAATTTTTTTGACATGGATGTGATAACTATGGGTGAAACCAGCATTAGATATTCAACTCCAGCTATGTACTGGCTTTATTTAATTGTAAGGCCACTTGTTTTCAAAAGTCACTTCCAATAATTAAGAAAACCTTTTTGGCAGATTTGCATGTTTGTGGAAGAGATGTCATCGTCGGTCTTTGCTGGTCACATGCTTAGATTTTTTTTCCTCTAAATGSTTTACATCCCTCTCATGAGCGCTTGCTTCTCATCAAAGCCCCCCAGACTGCAGGGCTCTTCTTGCCTTACCATTGCCACGTGCCTTGGTCTTCTGTTGCCTGGTCACATGGAGACATGGGCCACCTTCTTCCAGATTTTCAGCAAGATTTCAGGAGCATAGATTTGCAGAGGACAACATGGCTCCTCCATGTTCTTGCTCATTCAGGTTGCAAGTGAGAACTGAGTGCCACACGGAGCTCCCTGTCCCTGTGTGCACTGGGCTCCACTACGCAGCTTTGGGGGCCACTGCCCCATGTGTCCTTGGCCTCAGCCTCCCAGCTCCTGCCCTTCTCACAGGACAAGAGGGACAGCAGACCTCAAGGACCATCACCCCATCCTACTTCCCATTCTCATGGCGTGGCCTCACCCTGAGTATCCCCTCACCAGTGAATTGTACAAGAAAACTGGGAGAACGAGAAGAGGGTGTATAAACACAACCCTGAAACTGCAGCTCATGGGATTTCACTCTCAGGGCCGTGGGAAAAGGGCCTTAGGGAAATTAAGGAACTCACTCCAGGTGGTGTTTGGGGGTTTCATGCAGAGTTCAATAGAAAAGCCCCCAAAAGTTAATTTTGAATATTATATATATATATATATATATATATAATATTTTAGCAACTCTTTTATATTGCAGTATTTTTCTCACTAATAATTTTTACCTTAAAGTATTTCTGTCCCCAAATCCTGAACAATTTTAATTAAAATTAAAGTGGTAGAGAAACAGAATTGTTTGTAGAGTCAGGATTCAAGCCTTGTTCTATACTCTCACCTCTCTGGATGCTTTACCAAAAAAAACAAAAACAAAAACAAAACAAATCAAGGCCCACAAGTTGTGAATAACCAACCCCTGGCAGTCATGAAATTGATCACAACAGTGTTGTTTCTATCAAAAATCCAACTAACCATCCCCACCTGTGTGTGTGTGTGTGTGTGTGTGTGTATACAAAGCTGAATTTGTTTTCTTTAGCCTTACAGACTTTACAAAGTTAGCTTTCTGAAAACGGTTTTATGATGTACACAAGAAGAAACTATTATCAGCTCTAACTGAGGAACCTCTGGAATGTCTTTTCACTTGTCTATCGACAATAATATGATGTTATAGCATAGCAATGATATGCTGATTACATAATGTGTAACTGGTAACAGTTTAGTAAAGTTCCTTAGAGACCCATTACTCTTGTGTCACTGCAACATATCCATGATTCATGTTAGAAAATATTGTCTTGCACATAGAAACAAAGCAATGTCTTTTTTGAACCTAAATTTTAGAAGATCTTAGAGAAAATACGTTGACTCTGGTTACCGAATAGGACTCTTTTAACTCTGGGAAAGGAGCAAATTTTCATCTTTCATCTTTCCTTTGACAAGCTGTCTTGAGAAGTCTGAGGGATGGTCCTCCCGGGTGTATGAGGCGGGCGGTGGGGTGGCCAGGGCCACTGTGTCCTCAGCACTACTCCCGTGTGTCTGGCAGTGCTGCTGCCACTCTTGCTGCTCATACTGTCCTTCCTGACGCCAACCCTTGCAGGCGATGGCACGGTGGCCAGGAGGCCAGGAGAGCCCCCATGCTGCTCTGCCTAATGTCTCTCTCTCTTTCTTTCTCTCTCTCCTTCTGCATCCTGTGCTTCTGCCTCTCGCCACAGTCACGCCAAAGTCAATGGGCGCGTGTATCTCATCATCAATAGGTGGGTACTCCTGTGTTTTCTGTCTTTCAGACTTTCTTGCTGTGTTGAACTCTTCACCGCTTTGTAAAGGAGAAGTGCTGTGGTCAGGTGGTGGAGGGGCTGCCAGGTACGCTCKCGCCAGCGTGTGGCGCTCCTCCCCAAGGGTGACTCCCAGCACGTGGGGGTCGTCAGGGTCTTCAGCTGGCGCTCAGTGTCTCATCCTGGCTCAACCTAGGTTTGCTCTTGGTAGACCGCGTTCAAGGCTGAGTTTTTCTCTCTCCTGGCCACACGGTCGAGAGCGCAGCTGAAGAACGGCTCCTCCACACACCCTCCTGTCCATGCCAAACCTGCTGCCAGACCCATGCCCTTCCTGTGAGGTCACTGCTGCTCTCCTGACTGGCTCCAGTCCTCCACCGCCTGCTTGCCCTACCTCCCTGGCTAGAGGCACGAGCTCCCCTGCACGGCGCCCTGACCATTCAGCAACAATGCCCCGTGCCCTGGACTCTAGGCCCTTACCCATCAGCTGATGCTCCCTAGATGTTTCCTGAAAGAAATGCAAATATTCAGAACAACACACGATTTTTAAAATATCAATTTTTAAAACAAACCTCTACTTTAAAAGATCAGGACAGTCTTGACGAGGATTTCACAGTGTGTCCACATCCTGCAGCAGTGCAGAGATGGCCCTGGGACTCAGCCCCATTTGAGAGGCCGCACTCCCTGGGGAGGTCAAGCAGGCAGTGCACACAAGCCAAAGAGTGCTCTGTCCTCACAGTGCCACCCAGCACAGGGAAGGCCTGTGGGTCTGGCTGACTCCAACCATTCTGCCATTGTTAATAGGTGACTTGAATTGTTCCCTCTCGTAATACCAGTCGTGTCCTTGATGGAAAAATGCATTTTAAAATAAGCCCAGTTAACACACAACTCTCCAAACACTTGTTCATTTTCCATTCACTTTTCTCCTGGGCAGACAACCAAAGAACAAGGTACYGGAGGTGACACGTCCAGAAGGCAGTGTAAAAGGAGAGGTCCCTGCAGAGTGAGGAGGGAAGGGAGCTGGTGGGTGCCAGAARCCTCTGAGTCAACCGCGGGGTTTAGCTGACTACAGGAGGAGGCGCAGGCTCTGGTTAGACCTCTCCAGCAACTTGCCCAGCCCACCCTTCCACACAAAGGGCCACCTCCCTGCCTCTCCGTGGTGCTCATAAAGCACTTAGTGTTTGCCTTGGGCAACGGGCGTTGGCTGCATGAGGGAAGATCGGGAACTGCTGTGAGGTCTCCCTGKACAGCAGCTGGTGTGGCTTTGACCACACTAGTCACTCTGGCCTGCAGTCCRCATCCCAAGGCCAGGGTGTCTATTCTGGCCCTCAGAGGTGTGAAGGTTCAGAGCCACCCAGGCAGGTAGTGCCAGGCCCCAGAGGAACAGGATCTGAGAAGCCGGTTCCCATTGGGCACCAGGTGCTTCTGTGGTGTGTGCCCAGCGTGCCCACCTTCCACAGCTCCTCCCCAGGAGAGGATCGTGAATGAGCTGTCTTTCCCTCAAAATTGATTTCTTCATGCTCAAGATTGTTTGTTTTACAAAGAGAAAAGTTTGCTTATTAATGTTAATTCTGAAAGAGGAGGTTTACTTACAATTCTCCATAGGTTGATTAAAATCTACAGGTCACCTTACAAGATGTGAGGTAGGAGAGGGTGTTGAGAACAGCAGTTCATAGTGATGAGATTATAATAAAGCAGCTTTTTTTTAATTGTAGGGAAATTCCAATTGATTTAGTAAACAGTGTGAATTAGAATATTTTAACAGGATTAAGGTCCATTGCACTGATGTTTACAGAGGTTGAGACTATCATATCCAGTCTTGCTTAGTAGATATTTTTTTGGAGGAAACACTACCATATATGTTTGATATGTGGTATTAAATTCATRAATCAATTGCTTTTATGTGAATACAATCTTCTAAAAGTGATTGTGAGTTCTAGAAAATACTTTATGCCAAACAATATATTCTATTTTAAATGTTACAGGCATTATAAACATAATGAATTTGCAAGATGAAAGGAAAGTGACCACAACACTCGGAGCAACCAAGAGAGCTTTATTGCAGCAGTGCAAAAGAGAAGAAARAGAGAGAGAAAGWAAGAGAGAGAGAGGAGAAAGAGGAATGAAAAGAGGAGAGGAGAGATGGAGAGGGAGAGAGCAAGAGCAAGAGAGAGAGAGAGAGAGAGAGAGAGAGAGAGAGAGAGAGAGCGCAAGAGAGAGGGGCCCCACAAGAGGGAGTTTTTATAGCCAAATTCTAATGGGGTCTCTGGGTCTGCAAGCTGCTTTGTTGGCACAAGAGTTCAGCCTTAAGCGGGGTGCGGGGGGGAGTTTGAGTGTTCAGCCTTGAGCGGGGGCTTGGGCGTTTGGGCTTGAAGCAAACAGGTGATAAAGAACCAGACAGAGGGTTTGAGTGGCCAGRTCATCCTGCAGCTAACTTTGTTTGGCATGCCCTGCAGACAACTTATTCAGCCTGTCCTGCACCTAACACAAGATATCTCCTTTTCTCTAATCATCTAATGAAATGGGTAATTAACAATTTGCATTTCACATGTTCCAAAGTAGAATTATTGAAAAAATGAATGAGAGTTTAAATATGGAGATTTTACAATGGCAGAATTTCCATTTTTCTTAGTGGAGACTGGCTTAATATGTAGTTGTTTCCAAGTCAAGTCAATAATTAAATGTCTTCATCACTCTGTGTTACATAATTTGTTTCTTCTGTTTCAAAGAGAACATGTCTCCAGGSTATAAATGTCTTGCCCAGCATTGAAAGAGTCCCACTGTGCACCAAGCACAAGGAGTCTGCTTTGCAGAGGAGCTCAGGGTGCAGGACTGAATCTCTAGCTTCCCGGAGAGAGTCCCCAGCACACACTTAGGATGAAATGATGTAGGCGCAGATAAGGAAGCAAGCCCTGAGGATGGACAGGAAGGCGTGCATGGACAGACTGACAGGTCCCTTGACTTTCCTGACACAAAAATAGAGAACCACAAGTATTGAGAGCTCACAACCTGAATCATAATAAAGCAAGAAAATAAAATATCTGTAAAAATAAAGAAACTCTAAGGAGATAGAATGAACTCTTTGTGTGGAAGAAACACAAAGCATTTGATTTAAGGAGGTAGAGAAGGGAGCTTCTTGAGAATCCCGTGAGCTTTCACTGTGTCTCTTTGGAGTCCCAAAGGAAAAATCCTTCATCTGATCATCAAATAATTTGCACAAGATGATCAGTAAAAAAAAATCGAAAGTGTTGTCAGTTCTGTGGCTTGAAGTTCCAGGGAATGTGTCTTCGTGAGAGTGTGCCTTTTACTATAGTTTTTGAAAAAGTCGAGATCTTCTTTTTTTATTTGCTAGAGGAACAAAACGACTGATTTGTGGCACCCAGTCTTTTCAGAAGCATGAGGATGACTTTTGGCTCCAGCAAACTGCAGCTGACTGAGCCTCTGAGGTGGGTGTCTGCAGCCCAGCYCTCGGCTCCCCAGCCCTCACTGCACGCACAGCAAAGTTGTACACAGAGCAGAGTGCACAAGGCCAGGGAATGCTTGGAGACAGGTTCCCAAGGATAAATCCTAGCTGGTTTTCTCTTGAATGGCCTTTTAGGCATACCCGAGTTCTGTGAAGGAACATGCTGACGACAGAACTGCCGTCCACGGGTGCATCTTCCCTGTCCTGGTTGATGAGGCTCGGCCAGGTGCACTTTGAATTCTGCCTTTCCATCAGGACAGACTTATGACATGGTTGTGAAACCTAATGTATGAAATCTGCCTGTAGAAGATGGTTCCTTGCTTTAAAATCTTTCCTGTGTGTTCAGCACTTGTGGAAACTGCTTTAATTTTCCAAAAGTTCTATGAAGCAGACACAGTCATTTCCACTTTACAGACCTGAAGACTGAAACTTGAGAGACAGGCTAAGTAGTTTTGCAGTGTCACCTGACTCGTAAGTCATCTGATTGCTCAGATGGCTCCAAATGGTAGCTGGCACATGGGTCCCCTCTGCTCTGTTCTGCCAGCCATTGTAAATCCAGAGGCTAGGCTGCCTGGGGAGTGGGGCTCTGTGTCAGGTTGGCCCCAGGTCTCCTCTGTCCCCAGTTCTGTCCAGTCCCAGACCTTATGCAAACTACCACCAGTTTCCAGAAGCAGGTCTCGTAGATGATGGTGTCTCCAAGGGCTGCTCCCTATAGGCTCAGCCCAGTGTCTCCCTCGACTCCGTCGCTCAGCCGTCCGTACTCAGTCTTGACTGCCTGTGATGTGGCAGTCTGGGCACGTTGCTAATTGAGATAGAATGAACTCTTTGTGTGGAAGAAACACAAAGCATTTGATTTAAAGAGCCATAGAAGCAGCTGTAGGATGGCCTGGTGGCTGGGGTCTCACTCCAGGGTGAGAAAGGCATCTGCTCATCAGCTTACAATGGTGGCAGGTATCTGACACACTCAGTGGGGGCACATGTCTCCAGTAACCACCATCAAGTTCCTTGTTATAGTAAGAGGTGTCTTCCCAATGCAGAAGAGAGCAGTACATAGGGACATGGGCACTCTCCTTGGGGCTACTGCTTCCACACCCAAGCATGTTCAAAACACAGAACTGTCAAGCTGGGGCAGCAGTGTGCACCCAGAGGTTCCAAGTGCTACACTAGTGTCAAAGAAATGGAGTTGCAGTTCCAAGAGTAGTGGACTTTCAAGAATTGAAGGGGTCAGTTAGTGGTTTAAGAAGATCCGGGAGCGGCATGTGGGCAGAGTTCCTGCTCCCAGAGTGGAGCCCTGTCCCAGGCTCCTTGGGCATAGGTGATCCACTTGCTTCTGGCATATTGTCATGAACCACTTGACCGCACTGGGAAAGGGATGCTGTTGAGTGATGACTGTCTTGAAAGACTAAGAACAATGCCGACTCGTTACAAGTGGCTCCCYAAAATGACAGGCATGCTTTCAAATATGAAACTGTGGCTTGAAACAGCTTAAGACTTTACCCAGCTGAATCAACTCATTTTTATAGAAAATTTACTGAATTTCAGAAAGGCTAAATAATTTTTTTTTCAGAGTGTACAATTATGTGGGTAAAGCTTTTTAAATTGTCTGTTCTCTTTATGATCAGGCTGAAATTCATGCATTAATTATTGCAAATGAAGATCATTATGATTTCCACTAGGCTTTTCCCTAGGATGGACTGTATTGTCCACAAGGGGGTGGGCTCTTTAAGGCATCCATTTGAATATTAATACACATTATGCTTTTTAAAAAAAAGCAGGAGGTCAGGCACCATGGCACAGACCTGTAGTCCAKCTACTCAGGAAGCTGAGGCAGGAGGCACACTGGAACCCAGGAGTTCAGGGACATCCTGGGCAACAGAGAGACTCTGTGTCGAGAACACAGAACACAAGGCAGGTGTGTCCACAGTGGAATCAGCCACAGTGCCCAGGTGGCTGGAAGCTCCCTGCCTTCCTCCCCCTGCCCAGCTGCCCATGCACAGCTTATGTCTGCAACCCTCAGGCTGAGCAATGCAGACCCCGGAACTCCTGAAAGCATTTGAAGCACGTGGCTTCAGACGCTGGTGGAGTGGGCTCATCCCTGCCAAGGTGCACTGAGCACACGTCCTGTAAGAGGTGGAGAAAACTAACCTAACCTGTCACTGACGTGGTTCCTGCAAGATGGTCGGTTGAGTTGCTCAGAGAGCAGGGTACACTCTGCCTTAGTGGTCTACACGGACCCTCCTTTACAGAGCTGACCACTCTCGGGTCAGTTGCCAAGCCCAGGTCCCTAGCGAGAGCTCGCTGCCCACACAGCCTGAATGCACCTGGCCTCAGGCCGCAGCTGCCCAGCGCTCAGGAATGCAATGCGGGTGAAATGTGGCATGACGTGTGATCTCTGACTTCCTTATAACTCCTCTGTTCTCATCTCCTTTTTTTCCTTTCTATTTCAATTACTTTGAGCAGCATCAAGAAAAAATTACCAATCCACCAAAATGAGTAAGTCCCCCTGTGAGGCCATGAAATGCTCGCTCCCACGACACATTTCATGCCTCTTTGTCCTAAACTCTGACCATTTGCTCCTCTGGGAACAATGTCAAGTTTAGGTGTCGATAGCTCTCATTCCTGACCAACCACCAGAACTGAATAAGAAAGGCTAACCTAGGCCAACCAGTGGCAAGATACAGGCACCACATTGCCAGGCCTCTGCTCATGCACCGACTCTCCCGTGGGCCTCTCTTTGACTTGCCCCTCACTCACACCGGCCCTGCACGCCTTCCTCTCCTGACGCAGCTGCTCTCTGCCCACAGATTGGCCCACCCCGAGGGAAGCCTCCCAGACCTYGCCATGATGCACCTGACCGCCAGCCTGGAGAGGCCCGAGGGGAAGAAACTGGCMGAACTCGTAGATGAGAAGACAGAGGGCAGCCCTGGAAAGGCTGAGAAGGGCGAGCTTGGGGAGGGCAGCGAGGAGCCCGAGGAGGGAGAAGACGAAGAGGAGGAGTCGGAGGAGGAGGAAGAAATGTCAGGTAACCACTACCAGCAGCTGCTCAGACCAGGGGGCGAGCACTGACCCCACAGCTCAGTGTGACCCGCTCTGGGGATTGAAAGTTGAAGATTTCATTTTGGGGGGGTTGCTATAGTGGTAATATCCTGCTACAGTAATGTCTTTTGAATCTCTCTGAATTGAAGAATGCTAAGGGCCAGCTGTGGTCGCCTGAGCCACAAGCAGAGCTTCTGTTGAGGGCAGGAGGGGGGTGTCTGCTACGGCTCAGGCAGAAAGCTTCAGACAGAACAGCTCCCTGTTCAGGGCCTCCGGAGTCCTGGACATCGCCTTTGCAGACGCGTCCCCAGGGAAATCATTCCGAGGATTCCCATTAAGAATGTGTTTCTAGTTCTGCTGTCATGCTCAAGACATGAGGGACAGAGAAGGTGAGAAACACCCACTCACAAGCCCACCCCCAGAGGTGCGTCCGCCACCTTCATTACTCTGGAGTCCTCCCTCTKTCCCTGCTTTTTGTCCTAGACTTGAAACACTGTTTTAACAGGGGATGGTGAGAATCGAAGGGCCATGGGCTCAGAAAATRTTTTCCCACAGAAACATACAAGGTTGAGAGTTCGGCCTGTGCAGCAGTGCCCAGAGAGCGCGGGGGACCCCAGAGCACCGAGCTTTGAGGGTGGTGTGCTGTGCTGGCACAGGACAGTAGAATATTGCTTTTGTCCTTGCTGGTCAACTCTGCTTTACAAAAGTAGAAAATTTAAAACTAGAACAAGGAACAGGCATTGTGGCGCACCCCTGTAATATCAGCAAGTCAGGAGACTGAGGCAGGAGGTTGCAAGTTCAAGGCCAGCCTCAGCAACTTGGCAAGACTAGCTCTAAATAAAAAAATACGAAGAGCTGGGAATGTAGCCCAGAAGTGCAGCACCCCTGGGCTCAATCCCTGGTACCATCATAAATAAATAAGCAGCATGAGAAAGAAGATCCCTCTCAAAAGTAAGTGGCCCCCAAAAGCTGGTCCCCTTCCCCACTCAGCACAGGAGACCCACAGTGAGGACCAGAGAAGCTCAGTCCTTTCTTGAGCCATGTCCTGAGCCACACACAGCCTTAGTGCAGAGGGAAATCCCAGCTCCTCCAGAGCAGGCCTGAGGACCCAAGCTCCAAGCTGGGATTGAGCTTTACTGATGGGTCTCACCAAAAGTYGAACTTGCTTTGTGCCTCCACACCCTCATGTCCATGCTGTCCACTCCTCCAGATCATGTCCACTTACTACTCAGTCCTTCCTACTGACCACCATCTGAGTTACGCTGTACATTAAGCATGTTCCACAGGGATGAAACCTCACTTAACTGTCCCAGGACAGACACTGTGCCAACTCCCCGTGCCAGGTGAGGGCCCATCCTCTGCCTAGACAGTGGCCTTGGTACAAACATGACAATGTAATGTGTGACATAAATGTGACAGTACAAGACAGTCCTGTGGTGGCTTTCAGTACAGTGCTCTAGACAGCAGCGGGACCCCTGGGTTGTGCACAGCTGGCAAGAACACAACGACTGATCTGGCTGATCACAGCACAGGATTACCGCCAAACTGTGGAGTGGCTGGTCCTGATCCTGGGTTTGCTGTTCCTTCTGGTGAGGAGCGGCTGGTCCTGCTGAGGCAGACCTCTGACCTGTTCTTCCAGGGAGAATGGACAGTTTTATCCACTCATTTATAAGTTGCTTATGGGAGCAYCATTTTGACAAAACAAAATTGTAACTTACAGGTAGCTCAGGTCACCTCAAATCCTCAGCTTACATCTTAACCTTAAGAGTAAATAAGGCTGCCAGGCACGGTGGTGAATGCTTGTAATCTCAGCGACTCGGGAGGCTAAGGCAGGAGGGTCATGAGTTCAAGGACAGCCTCAGCAACTTAGTGAGGCCCTGTGCAACTAATCGAGACCCTGTGTCTAAAGGAAATATAAAAAGGGCTGGGGATGTGGCTCTGTGATTGAGGCTGGGTTCAATCCCCAGTACCCAAGAGAGACACAGAGAGAGARTAAATAAGTTCAAAATTCTTCTCTACACCCACTTAGTTAGAAGGTGGATAAGGCAGCATCGTCCCCAGAATCCTAGGTTAGGACATCTGTGTGGTCAACATGCCTGGGGGCTCATGGACCACCCTTGCTCCACACTTGGCTGTTCTTAGAACTCAACCCCTGWGATGACTTCACAGCTCCTTGTCCTCATCTGGAGGTCACAGATACCCTTGATTAATAACAAAGGCCRCCTGGCTCTGTCCTGCAGACCTGCGGAACAAGTGGCACCTGGTGATCGACCGCCTCACGGTGCTCTTCCTGAAGTCCCTGGAGCACTTTCACAAGCTGCAGGTGTTCACGTGGTGGATCCTGGAGCTGCACATCATCAAGATCGTGTCCTCCTACATCATCTGGGTTTCTGTGAAAGAGGTAAGTGAACGCGGCTGGAGCGTCTCATCAAACAGTCACAGGGGTCTCACATTCCTTGTCCAGCTGTCYGCCATATTTTTAACTGGTGTCCACTACATTAGGGATCTGGCTCTGAAAGGATGCCTTTGACATGCAGAGCAATCCACTCAGTGGCCCTGAGGAGGGGGAAGCCACAGAGAGAAGGGCCGGGGCTTAGTTTCCAGGTGACTGGTCACAGTCCCAGGGCTGCTTGTTTTCGCCTGCTTTTTTGTTGCCGAGTGTGAGAGTGGCTGCTCCTCTGCATGTGGGACTCTGCCTCCCTCAGTTCTCTCTGAGGAAAACSATAACATTTTGGCTCATGTTATTGGTTCTGCAGTAAAATCCTTCATAGAGCGCACCTTGTTGGCTGTTGCATTTTTGGAGACGAGTTGCACTTTCCAACTGCACACTTCTCCTGCCCTCCGTTTGGTGTCCGTAAAAAAGAGTCACTATTCCACCGACAGTCATTTCCKATTGACGGTGGACAAACTGGCTCTCCTTGCATTTATTTAACAAATACTTTTTGCATACTTCTAATTTCCCTGGAGTATTTTTGAGTTGGTTAGAATTCAATTTGTCCTCTAAAAATTAAGTCAGGGACCTCCACCTATAATCCTTGAAAAGCTAAACCGCAGGGAAAGCCRATGACCACAACACTGGTGGTCATGTGCAGGTCACTAAGGGTGAGACTCGATCTGAGCTGCGGGGTCTAACCCAAAACTTCCTGTGTGCTCCTGGGCCAGCTGCCAGCTGCAGACCACGCCCCTCCAGTCCCTGTCTCAGCTCAGCACTCTCCCTGGACTCCAGACTCTCAGGCCCACAGGGCAGCTGGATGYGGCTTGCTTTTTGTGCCCCCGAARCCCCTTCTGTGAATGTCCCTGAAACCGAGTTCACCCTGAACCTCATTCCTCCTTCAGGAACTCCAGCCGATTTCTGCTTCCCCCTCCCTTTTCTGCATCCTGTGGGCCTCCCATCCTGCAGCCAGATGGTCTTCCCAGAGTGTGACTAGCACTCTGGCAGTGCTCTGTGCCAGACCTTGGCACCGCTCACTCCCATCCTTACCGTCGCCTGGTCATGTCCCCTGCCCTCAGGCCTGGGCCACTTAAACATTGCCCTTCCGGGTACCCCAGGGCACCTGCTGGAAGGCTTCRGGTCTCACTTCCCTGGCAGAGAGCCACTTGGTTCTTCTGGATTGTGCCAGCCACACTCTCCTGCGCCTGGGGGGCCCTGTACCTGGGACCCCTCTGCCCACACCTGCTTACGCTTCCCAGTGGGGGCCCAACTCCTCCGGGGCCGTCTCCACACCTGGGTTAGCTGCCTCTGCCTGTGCTCCTGTATCGCCCGGCCAGCCTGGCGAGGCCTCAGCAAGCTGCACTGCCCMAGCTCCATATGGACTTCCCACTGCTCCCTGTGCTTCTCCAGGGCAGGAAGCTCCATGGGAAGCGTAACCTTGAACCTGGGTAGGATTTGTTAAGATCCCTTCTTCTCTTTACCCATCATCAGAATATCAAAAGTTCTGTGTAAATCGTTTGTCCTGTTTTATCCTCAATGCCTCCAGTGCATATTCAAAGAAATAGCAAAGAGACTTCATTTCCCAGTGTTGTGTGAGCCACACTCTCCTGTGCCTGGGGACCCTGTGTCTATCTTTAATAGATATCTCTAATAGGATTTGCTATTTAACATCCAAATTGACAGGGCCCTTGCTGACCACTAAGGGAGGGGGGGTCAGTTAGCTAATCAAAATACTTTGATAAGATGTTGTATTTAGTATGTTATGAGCACTTCATGGTTTACAGAGCACTTCCACAGGACAATTTCTTTCCTCCTCAATGAATTCTGTAAGGCAGCCCTTCCTAGTCCAGTATTTTTGCTCTGAGTACACAGAGAGGCCCCTGGCCTTGGACAGTGGAAATAGTTAAGTACAAGAATAGCTGGGGACAACATGCAAAATCATCAACACTGTGATGTAGTCTTCACGTGTCACTTTATGGTTTTGTCAGCAAACTAGGTAGACTGCCCTCCCAGGCTCATAGAGCTCAGCACTTTGTGTGTGTTCGCTTTACCAGCGGTATGCATGCTGCCGTTTTCACCTAATGACATGAAACATCCCAGCACGTTATTTGAATGACGTCCAGCATAGATGCGTGTGGCCCGTGGATGAATAAGATGGTGATGCTCCTGTGCTGTTCACGGAGAGTTGCTAAAAGTGGGGACGATGCTCTGAGGGGTAAACTCGCTGGCGTCCCAAGGTCCGCGTGTTCACGTGGAACTCATGTCCTCCCCAACACTGACCCCCTTTTAGCACTTCCTATCATCATGTGGGCTCCCGAGAAGAACCCAGGAGTCTTCTTTCACACTCCCTTCCCTGAAGTCCCCCAGCCCACCAACACTATGCCACCAACCATCAAACCCAGTTAACTCTATTTCCATCATGAATCCATGGCCGCTTTCCTCCTGGCCGCTTTTCCTCCAGAGCTGGTCTCTGGCCCCTTGTCTAATGCCCATCATGTGCCTTCCATCCCTCACTTTTCTCTAAGTAAGATGCCGGATGAGCTTCAGATTCCCCAGAGTGATGCCCTCCAGGGAGTGGTGTGGCCGTTTCCTGCAGGATGGGCCACGTGCCATTACACAGTTCTGAAAGGATCCCCAACCCTTGGCTCATGGCGGCCCCTCATCCTCCCCACGCTCACTGCCTCTCACACTGCTGACTCCCAGCTCCCGGTTGTCCGTGGTTACCTGCCCCACCATGCTCCTCCACTCCTCCTCAGCTTCACAGCCTGGCTCAGCCATTCCCACATCTCCACCCTGGAGCCAGGACGCCTCAGGCAGGAGCCTGTTCACATCTTCAGCTCAGCCATCATTGCCCTACACTGGCATCACCTTGTTCCGCGTCTGTCTTCCACAGAAGACACAGTGTCCTTGGGCCCTGGGCTCACTCCCCTAGTGCCCAGCACAGAGGCAATGCCTTGCACGTGCTCAGACCTCAACCCCCCTTGCAGGTCAGAGGTCGGGTCATTGTGCTTGTGGATGTCACGTCATGTTGTGTGTTCCTGTCTCCATTTCTGATTCCATGTCTGCAGGTGTCTCTGTTCAACTATGTGTTTTTGATTTCTTGGGCTTTCGCTCTGCCTTACGCCAAGCTCCGCCGTGTGGCTTCCAGCATCTGCACCGTCTGGACCTGTGTGATCATCGTCTGCAAGATGCTGTACCAGCTGCAAACCATCAAGCCCGAGAGCTTCTCTGTTAACTGCTCCTTGGTGAGCCAGGGGGAGGGGTCCCACTGCCCTTCKGGGAAGCAAGGCTCTTGGAGGGCCACAAGCTCATTCTGTCCAGCCTGTGAGTCACCCCATCCCGGCCCTGTCTGTCCTGCCCTCTGTGCTGGACCTCTGCCTCCCTCCAGCGGGGACCTCCCCCTCACACTGGGCCTTTCCCTCCCTATCCCACCCCTGTCCCTTTGGTCCAAGCTGAAGGAGGACACCTGAACTCACCCAATCTGGAGAGCCATTTTTCACTCCATTTTCATTTTTTTCAGCCCAATGAAAACCAAACCAACATCCCCCTGCAGGACCTGAACAAGTCCCTCCTCTACAGTGCGCCTATTGACCCCACCGAGTGGGTTGGCCTGAGGAAGTCTTCTCCCTTGCTTGTCTACCTGAGGGTAAGGGCACTTTTGTTCCTACTTAGAGCTCAGCACAGTTTGGAATCCATCCCCTTGAGACCGTTAGGACTGCACTAGATATAACCTCCTCTTCTCATGTGGCATTTGGAATCATGCTTGCAACAAATTCCTGTGACAGATCATTATTGCACCAAAGAGAAGCTGGCCAGCAGTCTGAGCTTGACTGAATACAGTGTGCCGCGTACATTCACCAAGTGCCTTGTCACATTCCAAGAGCAAGGTCACTGGGTTCTCAGAACTGAAACATGTCCAAAATACGTTGTCCAATTTTAAAAAAGCAAGTCTTAAAACACTGTGCAAAGAAAAATATGGGATACAGTATATCAAATTGTCAATAGTGATAATTTCTGAGAAGGAGATGTTATTTTACAAGAAACTTTTGCTGTCTAAATTATGTTTCTCCTTATAATAATAATTATTTACCAGGAATTGAACCTAGGGTGCTTAACCTCTGTGCCATATCCCTAGACCTTTTTATTTTGAGACTGGGTCTCACTCAGTTGCTGAGGCTGACTTTGAACTTTTGATCCTCCTGCTTCAGTCTCCCAAGCCACTGGGATTATAGGCATGTGCCACCATTCCCAGGTGTTTCCCTGTGATTTTTAATAAAGACCATTTACTACATTTAGAAGGAATAAAGCATCACCTTTGCAAAAAAAGAACTTCAGTTGCAAAGAGATGAAAACGTTATACCTTCCATGCTTCACATTTGACCTTGGTGGGTAATCTAAGCAGTCCTGTCTGTATTGCATGGACAGAGCCCTTAGAAGTAAGACCTTTCTGCTCCATGTCTGGACCTCAAAGGCCCTAGACCTCTGTCTTCTGTGAGTAGCTGCGAGTTTTCCTAATACAGTAGATACCTTTGGGAATGGTCTCAGCCCCCAGTGGCTGTGAAAAGGATAAGACAAATCGATACTTGGAAAGGGTGGTTAGAGCAGTGTGGGGACCCACGTGGGCTCTTCTCACCACTCCTGTTRTTTTCACACTACTGCCCCGTTGTGAGCATGCTTCTCAATTCACTGCCCACTCAGGCCAGACGTCAGAGGCGGTAAAGGTGTCCCCTGGGGCTGGCGCAGTGTGTTTCCCAGGATGTGTCTGCACCCTTGGCCCCTCTGGTTGCCAGCAACCCCCTGGGGCCAGGTACCCCCGGTGTGGAGTACTTCTCCAGGATTAGGAGCACAGCCACTGCCTCGTGTCCAGAGATTCTGAGTCCTGTTGCCATGGAGATTAGCCCCATTTCCACAATGGAGACCACACCGCAGTAAATAAGACAGAGCCTTGAGTGCAGTAGGATGTCATAAAGGTGGGGTTTTATAAAACACTGTGCTTTAGACATTAAGAATCAAGGGCAGTGACATTATAGGAATGGCTCAAGCTGAAACTCATAAAGCCCTTGGCAAACAGCTGTATGTTCTTGCTTATTCTTCGTAGAATAACCTCCTGATGTTGGCCATTCTGGCCTTCGAAGTTACCATTTACCGCCATCAGGAGTACTATCGGGGTCGAAACAACCTTACTGCCCCTGTGTCCAAAACTATCTTTCATGACATCACAAGAATGCATCTGGATGATGGACTTATTAACTGTGCCAAATATTTCATAAACTACTTCTTCTACAAGTTTGGCCTGGAGGTGAGTTTTCTTGCCAATGTGTTTTATTTCTCTTTACACAAACATATAAATAGCTACCTCAGGCCCGTTGGCCACTGGGGCTATTCCACACTCCAGCCCATGAAGACTGACTCCTCGGGGTCCACAGAGAGTGCTGCTATTGATGCAGTGGCATTTCCCAAGTCTGGGGACCAATGCCCCTTACTCTGCAGCCAGGCACTTGGCCTCTCGGGATCTCAAGAGCCATCTGGGTGCATGAACATCCGTTGTCTTATTAGTTCTCCCGCCAGCCTTGTGCTGGGGTTAGAACCCAGGACCTGTATGTTCTGGGCAAGGGCTCCACCATTAAGTCACAGTCTAGCCYTCACATTAGTTACTTATAAAGAGTAAAATATTCTCAACCATCTTTGCTTTCGAGCATTCAGAGTATAACCTGCAGCTCCAGGGAGCTGTTTTAACCTGAAGTTGTGCTGGTAGTTCCTGCCCTTTATTTAATAGGATGACTTTGCAGGGGTGCTGTATCATGAAGTCATTACCGCTCCCTGCCTGCGTCCTCTCCAGTTTGAAGTGGGTCTCATGACAGTGACTCAGTCAGGTGCTCCTTTGGAGGTAACCTGTGGATCTGCCTTCAGGCTAAAAGGCTTTCAAAAGAGCAAGACGCGGGGACCCACTCGGGGCCATCCAGGCTGTGCAGGTGTGGCTCCTGATGTGCTCCCCTTCCCTGCAAACCCCATGTGTTTTCACCTCTTGTCACCCTTACGCAGACCTGTTTCCTAATGTCAGTGAATGTGATTGGCCAGCGAATGGATTTCTACGCCATGATTCACGCCTGCTGGCTCATTGCTGTCCTGTACCGACGCAGAAGAAAGGCCATCGCGGAGGTCTGGCCCAAGTACTGCTGCTTCCTGGCCTGCATCATCACCTTCCAGTACTTCATCTGCATTGGCATCCCGCCTGCCCCCTGCCGAGGTGAGGGCACTCCCCAGGCGGCTCTCGCCCAAGGGCACTCCACARATCAGTGCAAGAGACTGATTCTGCCTGTGGCCCTCCCTGCAGATTACCCATGGAGGTTCAAGGGCGCCGACTTCAACGACAACATCATCAAGTGGCTGTACTTCCCAGATTTCATCGTGCGACCCAACCCAGTGTTTCTCGTCTGTGAGTGCTTATGCCACAGGGCCCTGAGACATCAGTAGCTGGGTTTACATGGGCTCCTCAGTCCTCGCAGGGTGCCCAGGACCGCTGGTCTTCCACTGGACCTTATAACCCTATCACCAGTCAGGAATGGCTCTTCCTGCGTTTGCAGAATTAACAAGTCAACATTGGAGGTTCTGTGTTCACTCACCCCCAGACACCCTCACACACCTGCACACCCGCCTTTCACAAGACAGATAGGGAGGGAGCCTGGGGCCGGGAAGGGTTCCCAGCTGCCACCACAGACAGACCCAAATAGAGCAGGGCTATGATGATGAGGAGGATATCTACCTCCCAGACTTGGCGTCACTGGGTACCTTGTCAGGGCCATCTCATGGGCTGGTGAGCCCAGGGCTAGAGACGCCACGCCACCCGGGATGGCAGGGAGTGGCTCCGGAGTGGCAGCTGCCCTCACATACTCAGGTTTAAAATGAGGGGCTCAGCAGGGCTGCAGCCTGCCTGGCTCACATCCCCTCTGCCCACATGCTCTCTGCCCTCCCCCTCTCTCTGGTGCCTGGCTGGGAATGGCCTTGGGTTACAAATGCAGAGAGAGGACAAGGTCAAATAGAACAGGATGTCTGCACCCACAGCAGGTGAGGAGGTCAGCAGGGCAACAGCTCCAGGCGCCTGGACACAGGCGGAGACCCAGGCCAGGAAGGACACTCCCTAGCCCAGCACCCTCACTGCCCACCGTGCAGGCAAAACCTGGGAAGCCCTGTGGGCCTGCCCTCACACAGCTCCCCATGCTGCAGATGCCCTTGGCCTGGCCTTGGGGTCCAGGATGGCTTTTACTGAGCGCTTTGGGGCTCGGCTCACTCGGGGGTGACTGTGCTGCGCGAGGGAGCCCAGAAGAGAGCAGGTGCCAGTGTCGCCCTTCTCCTGCAGACGACTTCATGCTGCTCCTGTGCGCCTCCCTGCAGCGGCAGATCTTTGAGGATGAGAATAAAGCTGCCGTGCGGATCATGGCCGGGGACAACGTGGAGATCTGCATGAACCTGGATGCGGCCTCCTTCAGCCAGCACAACCCCGTGCCAGACTTCATCCACTGCAGGTGAGGCTGCGCGCCACCCAACAGCTCCGCCCTGGGCACCTCCTGAGGCCCACTCTCCCCTCCTCCCTCTGCTGGGCTGGGGAGGAGATCTGCTGAACTACAGACCCCAAAGCTATGAGTGGGAGCCTCCACACGGAGGCTCCCCTCAGTACTGGCCTCCTTCTGTGGCCTCCACTTTCCTCCTCGTCATACGAAGCCRACTCATGTCAATCATACCCTGAAGCAGCTCTCCAGAAAAACCTCCTCACCTCCAGACCCTCACCCCAACTCCCCAGCATCCTCTGCCACCCCTCCTCATCCCATCCCTCTTCTTCATCCCCACCCCTCCTCCTCATCCCCATCCCCCTATATCCCCCATCCCCTCCTCATCCCCCATCCCTTCCTCATTCCCCATCTCCTCCTCCTTCCCCATCTCCTCCTCCGTGTCCCCTCATTTCTCATCCCTCCTCCTCATCCTCCATCCCTCCTCATTCCCCATCCCCCTCATTCCCCATCCCCCCC